TATCCATCTATCATCTATCATATCTCCCTCCCTCTCTTTCATCTCACACTTATCTCATTCTATCATCTTTCTTTCTCTAATCTATCTCATCCATCATCTGTCTGTCCATTATCTCTCTCTCTTTTCTCTCATCTCTTTCCCTCATGTATTATCTATCTATCTATCTATCTATCTATCTATCTATCTATCTATCTATCTATCATCTATTTATCATCATCTATCATATCTCCCTCCCTCCCTTCCTCTTTCATCTCTCACACTTATCTTTCTTTCATCTATCTCATCTATCATCTATCTGTCTGTCCATTATCTCTCTCTTTTTTCTCTCATCTATCTCTTTCTCTCATGTATTATCTGTCTGTCTGTCTGTCATCTATCTATCATCATGTATCTAACCCTCCCTCCCTCCCTCTCTCTCTCCCATCTATCTGTCAACTCATACAATATTTCCATGTTCTTTTAGAGTTGCTAACAGAAAGGGAGGGGGGAGCAGTGAGACAGCTTGCAAACCGAAACTGCATTCCATACATGTTTTCAAAGATAGTTAACTAGGTGACTGAAGTTTCTGCCCTGCAAAATTCTAACTGAAGAGTATGATTGATGACTCTTGGCTATGGATGTGTGATACACCCAGGGGGGCTTGGGGAAAACCTGGATCAAGGATAACAACGAATGATGTGTCTCAGAGTTGGCTACACCCCAGCGATGCCGTACCTTTTAACTCCCAATAAATCCTTCTGAAGTTTTGGAAGTTTGGCTCGAGACTCATGATTTAAATGGGGTTAAGTGCTGGAATCTTGACACTATCTATGCATCTATCTATCTATCTGTCTGTCTTTATTATTTATTATCAAGGTGTAGTGAATATATCTAAGCCTCTTCTTATTCTTATTTTTAGGTTTGTTGGGGCTGCAAATCCCGCATCAACCCCCCCTTTCCCTCCACCCCCCTTCCTGTGGAAACTGGATGAGGGCAGGGGCTGTTTGAGTTCCACTGCTACCCCGACTGCAGCTGGGCCAAGCAGGAAAAAAAAATCTCGCAGCGGTTTAACAGAAACCTTACAAACTTCTTCTCAACGTTAGGCCACTTCCTCTTCCCTTTCTCACCCTCCCTTTTGGCTTCTTTAATTCCGTCCATCATTCAATCCTCTCAGAAAACTTCTCCCCCTCGCCCCCAGTTCTCTTACCAGTTTCTGGCTGTCGGTGTCCAAGGCGCTGGTGGCATCGTCCAAAATCAACACTTTGGGGTTTCGGATCAAAGCCCGGGCAAGAGCAATCCCTTGCTTCTGCCCCCCCGAAATTTGTTTTCCTGCTTCCCCAGCATCTGCGGCAAGAGACCCAAAATGGAGGCATTCTGCAATCGGGCCCTCCCAAGCTCCCTCCATTTTAATTCTAACAGCGGCTTCATTCATCTCCCAATAGCTGAAATCTGGAATACTGATTTTGCAACACATCTGTAGCGATCTCTTCACCATCTGGTCCGATAGCTGGCAGGGGGCTGAACATGGCAACCCATCAGGCCTAGTCCTGCCTCCTCTCTATGGTCACAGCTCCACAGAGTCACAGATATTTCTCCAATAAAGGAAAACATCTGTGTCTCGGGATTGAAATGAGGGGTCCTTGTGCTCTATTGTGCAGCTTCTGATCTGCAGCATTCAATGGTGCCTGGAGTGGATTTATCAACAACATTCCAAAACTCTTTTGCTTTTAGGAAAAAATCCCATCTTTGCAGCCCAAATAATATACTTCTTCTGAGCCAAACGGGGTAGAGAGCTCTCTTTAAATTATTTTTTTTTCAGCCACCCTGCAGTCTCTTGCCTTGTTTCTTGCTATGAAAACAGGCACTCTCTCAGCTTTAATTACAATTCAGTCTTTTTCTGGGCCCATAGCCTGTTCCGTTTTGCAGCGTAAATTCAGCACCAGAAAAGTAAACGCAGATGGCTGATGCCTCATTTAACGTCTTTATAAACAGCAGGCATGATATTCCCCTCTGAAAAAAAAATGGGGGCCGGCCAAAAGAGATCCCCCCCGCCGGGCGCCAAGAAATCGCACACACAACACCAACGCTACACACCCTTCCTTTCCAGCCGGTCAGGTGTGGATCAGCTCCAGAGCTGGGCAGCCGTTTCCCTGGTGGTGGGGCCAAGGCCGCCGCCCAGGGAGCGCCCGCTGCTTTCCCTCGCCAGGGCCGGGCAGTGGCGTGTTGCACGGAGGCTGGTCTGTGGCTGCCCAGCTCCCTTTTCCTGCCGCTCAGCGGCTTCCGCTCACACCACCCGGGCTCCTCAGGTATCCGGCTGGGGTTGTCAAGAGTTGCTACCGCTGGCATGGCTCCACGCGGCTCCAGTCCCACATTGCCTCAGGAAGGGAAAGGCAAAACCGGGAGCCGTTGCTGCCGTTGCAAAGCGCCGCCGCGGCTCTTTCTTTTTGCCTTTCCCTTTCTGAGGCAACGCGGGACTGGAGCCTCGCGGAGCCGTGCCAGCGGTAGCAACTCCTGACTCGGGGCCCTTCGAGGGGAGGGGAAGGAGGAGAAGAAGGGGTGGGGGGAAAGGGTGGGGGGGAGGCAATTCCCCCCAAAATCGGAATTCCGATTTTAATCGGAAGAATATCATGTCTGAAACACATTAAGTCAATTTTACAATACCAGTTGTAGATTTCTCGAACAGGGCACATACTCAAACAGAAGCAGACCTATTACATGTTCAGAGCACAGCGGCAACATCAACTTCAGCAGACAAGCAAGCAAGCTAGTTTCTCTTTCACTTTAGAGCTGAGCACAGAACAGAGATAAACCACGTCCAGATTCTCTCTTTACATTTCAGCCCTCAATTCAGCTCTCATTGGCTGACCTTGTTACTAAGTTTTATTCCAGTTCATGAATATACTCTGACAGGTGCATGGTTGTTTTCTTGCAGATGTTTCTTTACCCACACTATTGGTAATCCTCAATCTGAGGCTGTAATTGAGCCCAACATTTTTGTTGCTAAGCGAGACGCGTATTAAATGAGTTTTGCTTCATTTTAGGACTTTTCTTGCCACAGTGGATCGCCGCAGTTGTCAAGTTAGTAACACGGTTGGAAAGTGAATCCGGCTTCCCCTTTGACTTTGCTCATCAGGAGGTCGCAAAACCCGTGTGATGTCTCCCTTGGACGACTCCTCATATTCCTCCTCGGAAGTCGGCTCAAGGGAAGGTGAACTGGGTTAATTAATGACTCTGAATGGCCAAAAGAGGTTTACAGGCGGATTTAGCTGGGGACAGCTTGCCGGGGTTGGCGGTCAGTGGAGAGGAGGAGGAGGAGCTGCCTTCCATGGTGGATCCAAGAGCACTCAGGGCAGAGAAAAGACAAGAGCAATGGAGATCTGCCAGATTATTCAGAAGGCCCCACCTGTCTTGATGGGCTGCACAGAAAAACTATTTATCAGGGCAGGCAAAGGGAAGTGTTGCTGGGAACAACATGTTTGGTTTCTGGCTGTGTGTGTTTGTTCCTGGTGTTTCCTGCTGGATTTTGGAGACTCTGAACTTCTTTTGTCAAGTGAGCTTTTGTGGGTGTATTTCAGTTTGGCTTAGTAGATTAAGTTTATTGGTGGACTTCTTTGTTGGAGCAACTTTCTATTGCTTTATGGACTATTGGCTGTTGCCTTGTGGACTAATCTTGGCCTGCTTGTGGCTGGAAGTTATTTGGGACAGTTCTGAGGCTGGGTGAAGGGAATTGCTGGGGAATCACATGGCCATGGGGATGCTGCCCAAGGTCATAAGTGTGAAAAAAAGGTCATAAGTGTGAAAAATGGCCATGCCCCTGTTGGAATCTGACTTGGTGGGGGAAACCGAACAGCTGACAGGGAATGGGAGTGTGGCTCCACTGGCTGTGGAAGAAACTGGGGAAGGGCAAAGTCCAGCTGGGCAGAGCAAGAGAGAGGTAGAACAAGGCAGAGGGAATTCAGAGGAAGATCTAGGCCTACCCCCTCTTCATCCTAGGGCATGCAGGGAGGAACGGAGAAGGGAGCAACGTGTGTTGCTTGGCTTATGGGAGAGGAAAGGGCCCTGATTCTCTTCATTAGCTGCAGCTGGGAACACAGTATATAAAAGAGGAAGCTGCGCACAGCAAGTTGTTGGGAGCAAACGTGAATTTATCTGGTATCGTCGTGGCTTATCTGCGTTCCTGGCGTTTTCCCAACTGTGTGAGTTTTGCCGCACTTTCAAATCTGAAATTCCTTCTCCTGCCCTATCAAGTTAATTACTTCAGCTTGGTTTGTTTGGATTTTTAGTTACAGTTTTTGTGTACCTTGTTTTGGACTGAATTTTCTACAATTAAAAGCTGTTTCTGGGAGAGTTTTTCTCCAGCTGAAGATAACCTGGACACTGGGGGCAAAGTTGGAGATAATAAAGGGACTCTTACTGCTTATTTGACTGTGTTGCCTTTGTGCCATGCCCTGGGTCATCACAGTCACTTTTTTCAGTGCCGAAACTTCGGACGGTCACTAAACAAACTTGTAAGTCAAGGATTACCTGTCGTTTGGGTAATGAGACATTCTGCAAAAAAAATCAGCCATGCTCAGAGAGCACCAAGGACCCCTCTGATGTTCTGCCCTTAAGACAACTCCCATGTGACCCTGCCATCCATCCCTGGGCAGAAGACGGAGACTCCTACTTGTATCGTAGCCGTGGCTCATTGTGGAGATGAAGCGATGGACTCCTACTTGCTGACTAGCCTGGATCACCTTCTCTTCACATTGCTCTTGCAAGCCGTAGGCAATGTTGGCACCCAAGGATCGGGCAAAAAGTACGGGATCTTGGCTCACCAGCGCTACCTACCAGGCCGGGAAAAATAACAAGACAGTTCATTATTCCAAGCAGAATTTATGAGGATGCCAATCAAAGCAACATTCATTTCCCCCAACTTTGGAAACTGTAATACAGCTCAACGTCTATGCAGATTCTCAGTCATCCAAGTCACGGCTGTCCAGAAGTCAGGCTTTGGTGGCGCAGTGGTTAGTGTGCAGTACTGCAGGCCACTTCTGCCGACTATCGGCTGCCTGAAATTTGGCAGTTCAAATCCCACCAGGCTCAAGGTTGACTCAGCCTTACATCCTTTCCGAGGTGGGTAAAATGAGGATCCAGATTGTTGGGGGCGATAGGCTGACTCCGTAAAACTGCTTAGAGAGGGCTGTAATACACCATAAAGTGGTATATGAGTCTAAGTGCTATTGCTAAATGGGCTTTTTTTAAGAGGCAATTGGACGTTCTCGATTTTCTTTGAAGACATTTCGCTTCTCATCCAAGAAGCTTAAATATCTGAAATATTAATATTTTATATACTTATATATTCAATATAAATATAGAATTTATATATTTAAATATCTTTATATATCTTAAATATCTTAAAAGAAAAACAAGAACGTCCAGTTACCTCTTGAAAAAAAGCACTTAAAAAAAGATTTGATTGATTTTCTATTATTTACATTTTTTTAGTGCTTAATAAACATCATGTTGTCTGGATTTGTATAATTGCTTAACAATACAGATCACATTCTTAATCTCCACTTCTTTTTTCCAACCACTGGTAAAACAAAGTCCAAGTTTGGTTATATTCTGCGTCCAAAAGCACTTCTGGAATACAGGTAGTCCTCAACTTACAACCATTCATTTAGTGACTCAAGTTACAACGGCCCTAGAAAAAAATGATGGGCAAAGTCAATACGGAAAGCCAGATTCGCTCAATAACCGCATGCTTCACTTAACAATGGCAGCGATTCGCTTAAAGATTGCAGGGGGAAAGGTTGTAAAATGGGTTGAAGTTCATTTAACAACTATCTTGCTTAGTAACAGAAATGCTGGGCTCAACCATGGTTGTACGTCGAGGACTACCATAAAGATATTGAATTTAATCGCTGGAACAGTAAAGGGTACAATGGGCAGGGACACATGGTTGGAGTTGATTGGTTGGACAGCGCGGTGTCCTGCATGAGGCAATCTGTGTTATGATTGGTTGCTGGGGGTAAAGGGGGAGTTTCCCTTTTTTCCCGCCTTTTTTGTGTTTCCTTCTGTATGCTGTTTAAATTTACCTCATGATGTTCCTGACTATCCTATTTGTTATAAATATAAACATTAAATAGATTCATTTTTATAAAACTACAGGTTTGTGTTGGTGTCTCTGACTTCATTTGGATACCGGCTGCATAATTCCCGGACATCAATCTGTTCAATTTGTTTAATGGGAGTTGAAAGAGAAAAAAAAAATCCACGATAGACTATTTAACAGAATAACAATGTCGGAAGGGACCTTGCAGGTCTTGTTCTGACCCGAAGCTTGTTCCAATGAAACAAACATTAAACGGAGGTAACAGCAAAACCTTTTAATGATCCTTTACAAATTCCGTTCCTCCCCAGTTAAAAGGCTGTTTCAGACTAATTGTCTCTGATAAGAACGAGCCTTGCCAAGTTTGTGCAAGACTGCCAAGAACACTAGATAAAGTTGCCAAAAAAGTATTTCAAACACAAAGAGTCTCCAAACACCAACTAAGAGAGTCCAGACGTCCACAAGGCTTGAATGCAAAAACTTCTTGGCTTCCTGCAAAGAACTCCGGTTTCTCAGCTGGCTTTTATCTCTGAAGGGAGGGGCCATTACCTTGCAGCCTTACCCCCGAGTCACCCGTGTTGCTGCAGCTGCTCTTTCCTTCCAGCAGCCCTGCATACACGTGCACTGGGCACAGGCTCCTCGGGGACCTCTTCATCACTGCTGCCAGCCTCCACAATCTCCGAAGGCACCATTCCACTCCCTGATGGTCCTGGCCCCATCCCTGCATTACACGCAGGCCTCTCCTCTGAGTTTTCGCTCTCTGAGACCTCAGCCGCTGGCACCGGTGAACCACAACAGGTCTTCTAGTCCAATCCCCGCTCCCCCACCCGCCCCCCATTCAAGCAGGAGACCATTTCAGACAATGGCTGTCCAGTCTCTTTTTGAAAGCCTCCACAACATTTAAAGGCAAGCTGTTCTATAGGGTGTGCTCTGTAGGCTGTTCGGTGATTTACCCGACGATTTACCTCAGGGTGTAGTAATGTGCCTGACTATCTCACCTGCTGTAAACATAAAATGTAAAATCTATTTATTGATGTAAAATGACAAGTTCGCATCAGCGTCCCTGACTCCATTTGGACACTGGCTGTGCAATCCCCTCCACAACCTGTATCGGCCGCCTGCGTCTATCGTATCGCATCCCTTACCTTTTGATGCAGGAAGTGATGTTCGTATTTGTTCAGGTCCTCGTCATCCAGCAGCACCTGTCCTTCTCTGGGCTCATAAAACCTTTGGAGCAAGGCCACCACCGTGCTCTTCCCACACCCGGAAGGGCCCACCAGGGCAGTCACAGTACCAGGGCACAGCTTGAAAGACACCCCCTGGAAGAAGAGAAAACCGCCTGCCAATTCTACCCGACTTCGATGCAGTTCTTCGTACTGCAGTTTCAGTTCTGGCTTTGGATGGGATAGGACAGCGCATCAGCATGCTCAGAGAACAGATAATCAGAGTTGGAAGGGATCTTGGAGGTCATCTAGTCCAACCCCCTCCCCCCGCCCAAGCGGGAGACCCTACACCCTGCACAAATGGCAGTCCAATCTCTTCTTCAAAGTCTCAAGTGATGGCGCTCCCACAACTTCCAAAGGCAGAGCTGTTCCACTGATGGATTGTTCTCACTGTCAGAAAGTTTCTCCTTATTTCCAGGTTGAACTTCTCCTTGTTCAGCTTCCATCCATTATTCCTTGTCTGGCCTTCGGGTGCTTTAGAAAATAGCTGGACCCCTTCCTCCCTGTGGCAGCCCCTCAAATATTGGAAGACTGCTATCCTGTCTCCCCTGGTCCTTCTCTTTACTAGACTAGCCAGGCCCAGTTCCTGCAACTGTTCTTCATACGTTTTTTTAGCCTCCAGTCCCCTAATCATCCTGGTTGCTATTTCTAGAGTCTTAATTTCTCTCTTACATTTTGGCAACCAAAACTGGATGCAGTATTCCAAGCGTGGCCTTACCAAGGTGTTATAAAATGGTTTAGCAAGGCCTAGGGCCTGGGGCCTGGAGATTGTACATCTCTAACCATTTAAATGCAGTTAATTTCCATTAAGCCAGGTTAGACCTAAGCCTGATTTGACTGACCTCAAAAATCTGATTCTAGGTTGGGTCTGGCCAAAGCTTGGATGAGAGACCATAGAAATGGATCCAGCCAACGTGAAAGCTGTCCTAGCAGCCCCGCCAAAGAATCGCAAACAGCTGCAAAGCTTCCTGGGATTTGCGAACTTCTACTGGCAATTTATCCCCTTATTTGCAGAGATTGCATTACCAATAACTATTGAAAACTGGGAGTGGGAGGGCAACCAAGGCAAATCCTGGACAACCCCTTAAATAGACTCTAGAATGACAACAAGCTTTTGAATGGTTAAAAAGACATTTCGCACAGGAACTCATTCTAATACACACCCTGACCCAGCATTGCCTTTTATAGTGCAAGCCAACGCTAACGACGTAGCGGTGGCAGCAGTTCTACTCCAGAAAAATGTTAATGGACATCTGCAACCCTGTGCATATACATCCCCAAAACTCCCAGACACTGAAAGAAGGTGGGTTGTATGGGAAAAAGAAGCTTATGCAGTTTGTTGGGCTTTACAAACTTGGAGACAATTTTTAGTGGGCGGTAACATTCCATTCCGAAAGTATGGCTTTCAATGACTATTCCAGAGAGAAATAATGGAGTTTCCCATACTGACCTCAGCTACATTTTGGTTTCCTCTGGCTGCGTTCACACGACATACTTGTCCAAGTCAGTAGATGACACACACGAGATGAAAAGTTGGTTACCTTTAAACTTGACTTAGTAAGTTGTGGGAATTCCATCCATTTGACTAGTTCCATGATGGTGAACTTATGGCATGCGTGACACGCAGAGCCATTTGTGCTGGCACATGAGCTGCAGGCAAACTTACCTCACTGCATTATGTGTGTACCTCACAGCTGATTTTTGGCTGGTTTGAGGCCTTTTTCGGCCTCCCAGAGGCTTGAGGAAGGCTTCTGCAGGCTTTGCAGGCCGAAAACTAGGCCCATTTTGTCACTTCCTGTTTTTCTGGAAATACTGAGAGTGACAAAACGAGCATAGTTTTCAGCCTGCAAAGCCTGCAGAAGCCTTCCTCAAGCCTCTGGGAGGCCGAAAAAGGCCTCAATCTGGCTGAGAATCAGCTGTGAGGCACAGTGCAGGTAAGGGAGTGGGGTGGGTGGGTGGGGATTGTTTGTGCATGCATAGAGGGCATGGGGGGTGCACACTGCCTTCTGGGTGCTGGCACACGAGCACGAGCATGCAAGCACATGTGCAATTTTTGGCACAGGAGCCCAAAAAGGTTAGCCACCACTGGACTAGTTTGCAGTGTCATGTATTGGTTTAACCCAGATAGTCAGGGCTATTCAATAACAGAGTCATCCTGGTCACAGGATGACTGGGACTCAATCTTGGGTAGTTCTCTTCATATCTATTCTTGAACCCATACCCAAAGTGTTGTGATCCCTTCTCAGAATCCAGTTCCCACCACCAACCTTCAGCACTAGAGAGTTGCCATTGTTGCCATAGGAGAATGAAACATCTTTAAGCTCCATGCATCCTTCTAAATTTGTGGGTGCCAAAGTTCCCGAAGGCTTGATTTGGGGTGTCCGGTCCATGTACTCAAAAGCCTTTTCCGATGAACCTACGGCCTTTTGCATGGAAGGGTAATATGAAAGGAGGACCTAGGAGACACAGGAAACAGGCACTGTGAGACAAGGGAAACATTTTGAGGAAGGGTCTTCACTCTTCTCTGGGCTTCCAAGCAGAGGCTGTTTCTGCCCCCCCACCCCACCCGTCCACCCCCCCCAGTGCTGGGCCAATCACAAAACTTACCTTCACCACTGTGGAAAGCTCACCCTCCTGCAGGACAAAGGTAACGAGAGCTCCGCTAGTCAACTTCCCTTGAGTGACCAGGTATCCCCCATAGTAGAGAACCCCCACTTTGAGTGCCAGTTGTAAGATCTGGAGGAGAGAGAAAAAAAATAGGGGATTAGTGTGAAATCCCTTGGATAAGGGGTGTCAAACTAGCAGCCCGCGGGCCAGATGGGTCACACACACAGGCCACGCCCACCCCAGCTCTGTGAAGGGGAAAACGTCATGACATGACGGCAACATGACGGCGCGAGTTTGACACCCATGCCTTAGAGGGGTGGAGGGGAAGGAGGGAGGGAGAGAGACAGACAGAAAGACAGAGAAGAGACAGACAGGGAGGGAGGGAAGGAGGGAAGATTAGACACATAGACAGATAGATAAACTATCTATCTATCCATCCATCCACCAACATACTTGCCTACCTATCAATCTATCTCTATCTATGTACTCTATCTATCTATCTATCTATCTATCTATCTATCTATCTATCTGTTCTGCATGGACATTTCCATTCTCGAAATCCGGCAGCTCGGATTGGTCAAAGCGCGCAGCCACCAGATTGGTCGAGCGCGCAGCACTGATTGGCCGTTCGGAATCGACCGCGATTGGCTGAGCCGATCGCGGGCGATTCGAACGGCTGTCATTGGCCGCAGCGCCCGGCGCCCGATCGATATAAGCCGCGGCTTTTACCCACTCACTCCACTTGTGTTTTCCACTAATAAATGAGCTGAACTCAAGTCACTGCCTCGCGTCTTTTGTCCATATCGGCGATACGACACTATCTATCTATCTCAATCTCTCAATCTATCTACTCTATCTCTATTTCTCTACTGTTTCTATCTATCTCTATCTCTCTATCTATCTATCTACTGTATCTATCTATCTACTCTCTATCTATCTACTGTATCTCTCTCTCTCTCTCTCTATCTACTATTACCTCTCTATCTCTCAATCTCTCTATCTACTCTCTCTCCTTCTTTCTTTCTATCTGTCTATTGTATCTATCCATCCATCTACCCATCTGAAATAGTCAGCCCTACTCACTCTGGAAGCACAAAGCTCCATGCGGCACACAAAATCTGAAACCATCCTTTGGGTGACAGAAGTCGTGCAGCCCGCACCCTCTCGCCAACCTCTCTGCCCAGGTTTGCATCCTTGCCTCAGGAATCCATACGGAGGCCCCGTAGGCCACGGCCTCCACCTTGTTGAGTTTGTAGGTCTCTTGCAACTTCTTTTCGTAACACTGAGCAGCCCCATCCTCGTTGGCAAAGCTGCGGACGGTGGGGATGGCCTGGAAGGTCTCCATTGCAACTTCGTTGGCTCTAGCTAAGGATTCCTGGACCTCCGTGGCCAACCTCTGGAAGGAGAGAGAGAGAGAGAAAAGAGAGAAAAGATAACAAAGTGTGTCCAAAATGGATCAGGAGAGATTTAACCTGGAAATAAGGAGAAACTTTTAGACAGTGAGAACAATCAGCCCATGGAATGAAAGTTGTGGGAGCACCATCACTTGAGACTTTCAAGAAGAGATTGGACTGCCATTTGTCAGAAATGGTGTAGGGTCTCCCGCTTGGGCAGGGGGTTGGACTAGATGACCTACAAGGTCCCATCCAACTCGGATTATCTGTTATCTGATTAGGTTAAGGGGTGTTCCATCTGAACCCCCAAACTTCGTATCAACTGTATTGTCCCTCTACAAATTAAACTCTGGAGGCAACTTTGGATGTGATCAAATGGGAAAATGAATGAAATCGTATTAACTAATATTAAATAAGATAAAGCTCAACTGGTGGCTACAAGTCCATGTTGTTCATTCTGCAATAATACACAAATAGCGTCAACTCATAAAATATTTCTATGGTCTTTTTAGAGTTGCCAACAGAAAGGGAGTGGGGAGTAATGGGCAGCTTGCATTCCATAAATGTTTTCGAAGATAGTTTCAAGGTGACTGAAGTTTCCGCCATGCAAAATTCTAACTGGAGGGTATGATTGATGACTCTTGGCTATGGATGTGTCCCATTGGAGAATATGAATTATGATACACCCAGGGGGTCAGGGGAAAACCATGGTCAAGGGTGACAATGAATGATGTGTCTCAGAGTCGGCTATACCCAGGCAGCGCATGTTTACTCCTAATAAATTTTTAAGTTTTGGAAGTTCGGCCAGAGACTCATGATTTAAATGGGGATCACTACTGGAGCCCTGACATGGTATCAGGGTTGTGTTTGAACTCAAAGGCTGGAGTGAGCGTGGCCAGCTCAAAGTCACTCGCCGAGCCTCCGTTTTCGGCCGCAACGACCTCCTGCAGCCTTCTGCCAGCGAAAACTGAGCCCCCACCGAGCTCCATTTTCACTGGCAGAGGGCTACAGGAGGCCATTGCAACCGAAAACGGAGCCTGGGACAGCCACGTCCAGTCCTCTCAAGCTCTGTTTTTGCTGGCAGACAAAAACCCAGGCTCCGTTTTCAGCTGTGATGATCTTCTGCAGCCCGATGACAGCAAAAATGGAGCCTCCCTGAGCTCCATTTTTGCTGGCAGAAGGCTGCTGGAGGCCATCATGGCTGAAAATGGAGCCTGGGAGAGCCACGTGCAGCCCCACCAAGCTCTGTTTTTGCTGGCAGAGGCACCGCGGGCAGAGGCACCGTGGGCAGAGACACCTTTCCTGTTTCCAGGGCAGCCCCACGGGCCCAATTTAAGCACCCTGTCAGCTTTGGAAGCCATATTAGCACCAGACGCTTCCACACTGCCACATTCTTGAGCCTGGGAAAACGGGAGGGGAGAATTTCCTGGAGCGTATGTGGTTAGATTCTTCTTCTAAGTCAAGGTCATGTTATTTCTTCACCTGGGTGAGAGGACTTCTCTCAAGCTGAGGCGAACGGTGATTGGGGCATGTGATGCAGTGAGGGATGCAGAGGGTGGATTTGTAATTTTTTACTTATTGCAAGGAAACCTGGAACTTTCAGATTCGGGATTTCCCAGATGTGCCAGTTTACTACTCATTCCAAAGGCCGGATCCAGCCCAAGGGCCTTGAGTTTGACTGCTCGGTATTAAGGCTTTCGTCCCCAGGAAAGGCTGATAGAAATAAACATTACTTCTATAGTCCTTTTTAGCGGCCTGTGGGCCTTGGGCCTCTCTACCACAGAACCCTCAAGGTAAGGCTGAAGGGAACCTTTCATCACCTGATAGAACTTCCCCGAGAATTTCGGCAACAGCAGGATGAAGGGCAGGGTCACAATGATGAATAAGGCCAAAGGCACAGAGATCCACAGCATCATGGCATAGTAGCAGATACCCCGGAGCAGGTACCACATCAGGAGGCTCAGATCGTGTGAGAGGGCTTCGCTCATGGAATCGATGCCGGATGAGATGTGGGAAGTGATGTCACCTGTCAGCCAGAACAAGTCCATTTCAAAATACCGTATGTCAACTGGGAGAAGCCCCCTACCAGCTGTGGTCTTTGCTTTTCCTGCTTTTTTGGTACCCATCTGTGGAACTGACCTGTTCTGACCAAGGCTTATTGAGACACTAACAAACATGTTAGTCCCCAAACCCTTTTTTCTTTATTTCAACAGCTGTGAATTTTAGTCATTCACAACCCGTAATGAGGCTCAAACAGTTAGTAAATAGTCCCATGGAAGCCTGCCAAAATCCTTCAGGATAAGTCTGATAAGCACGCACCTTTATCTTCCTTGAAACGCTGGCAATGACTAAATTTCTAGTAGTTATACAAGGCCAAACGGAACACAAATTCAACACAGAGCTTCAGGTTTCAAACCGACCAGTATGAACGAAGTTGCTTCCTGCAAAGGTTCCTATTCCTTTGCTCCTCCTTTATGTCTTATGGGAGGGCCAATCAGCCTTACTACTGAGTCACACCCATTTTGTCTTAACTGTTCTTGCCTTCTGGCAGCTCTACGCACACGCGCATTGGGAACAGGCTCCCCTTGTTCCTCTGCCTCGCTGCTGTCAGATTCTGGAGGCTCTGGAGTCAGCACACAATTCCCAGATGGCCCTGGCCCCATCTCTGTATCGGACACAGAACTCTCGTCCAACTCCTCCCTACTGTCGGACTCTGCTGCCGTCACCACAGGATGCCAGTGGATCACAACATGGCCACCCCATCTTCTAAACCAGTGCTTGCCAACCAGTGGGCTGGGGACCGCTGGTGGTCCACCAGAAAATTTTGGTGGTCCACAGAGAAAGGTCACACCCAAAGCAATTAATCCAGGCTGCGCAGGAACACAAAGCTTGCATCGCTTGCATTGCAAACAATACAAGATAGTGAGGGGGGGGGTGGCGGGGGGAAACTTGCCCCACACCCCTTGCCTGGCCACCGGGCTGCTTCTTTCCACTTCTTTCTTCTTCTGCTTTTGGCTGCACTCAAGGAAAGCAGCAAAAGTCTTTCTTTCTCTCCCCTGACCAAAGTTTCTGCCGCACAAAATTCTGACTGGAGAGCATGATAGATGACTCTTGGCTATGGATGTGTCCCATTGGAGAATATAAATTATGATACACCCAGGAGGTGGGGGAAAACCATGGTCAAGGGTGACAATAAATGATGTGTCTCAGAGTCGGCTACACCCAGGCAGCGCCGGCATGTTTACTCCTAATAAATCTTCTTTAAGCCTTTGAAAATCTGGCTAGAGACTCATGATTTAAATGGGGGAAACTACCAGAGCCCTGACTCTGTGTGTGTGTGTGTGTGTGTGTGTGTGTGTGTGTGTGTGTGTGAGAGAGAGAGAGAGAGAGAGAGAGAGAGAGAGAGAGAGAGAGAGAGAAAAGGAAATGCTGGATCCTTTACCTGTTCGATTAGTGCTGAAGAAGCCAATCTCCTGGCGCACAACGGACCTGAAGACAGAGGCCTGGAAGCGGGTGTGAAATCTGTTCATAACCTTATTATACAGGAAGTCGCAGAGAAGCTCTGTTGTCGCACTGAGAGGAATCAGAAAACAGATATCTATCATGACTCCAACTTTAGCTCTCTCCAGTCTTTGCTCCTACCTGACATCACTTTGACCCCTTTCCCCCCCTCTCCCAATGAATCATATTTCATCCCATGCTGTGGTCAAAAATTTTGGTTTCCTTTTCTGTTTTTTT